AATAAAAATACTTCCTCTATGAGAGAGCAATATGTTTTAACGACAATATAGAATATAGGAAATATAGAATTATTGTACAAATTATTTTGCGAATAATTCTGCAATATTTTTTAAAAAAATATTTCTTATGTTTTTTACTTAGAATACATGTTAAAATAAATAAACTGATGCTACTTTTATATAAAGTAAGCCGAATCGTCATAATCTCATAGATAAATATTATTTAAAAAAAATTACTTTGATAGCAAAAAACTAGTCAATAACTAAAATAATAATATTTTTACTCTTCTTAATCAACAATTATTAGTTTCATTAACATTAAATTTATGTCAAAATAACTATGCATTAATTATTTGTATGTCAGTCAATTTTAACTATCTTCAGACGATTTTGGCTAATTATTATTAGTTACTTTTTAATAATAAATAATCGTTTTTAACTAAACTGCGATTCCAAAAGTTATCTGTGACTTCATTAACAATTGTATTTTTTTAAGTAAACAAATGAATAAACTAAAATAGTCTTAATCTGTTACAAACGAACACCTTGGGACTCAATGTGTTCGAGGCGCGAGAAATCTGACGCACCATACGCTTTAAACATTAATAACTTTGTAAGCATTCATATCATGTTAATAAAATTTTACAGAAAACTTGACCGTATAGTAATGAAAAACTTTGTCACTGGAAGTTTTTTGTACCTTAAAATTTCCTCGATAAACGAAGCGTTGAAAGTTGGAAAAACACATTTTTTGCAACGTCTTTCGAAAAAATTAATAAACTTTTTATTAATTAAGATTTTATAGTTTTAAAAGTATAGTTGGTTTCAGGAAATCTTAATCTGTAAGTTCGTTTTTGTTTGATTACAAAACATGAAAAATCAAAAAGGCCAGCACGAGTTAAAGACGCAAAACATTTAAATTTTTTGGTTTTCAAAAATTTAGTTTTTTCTCATTATTTCATAAACTAAAAAAGATATAAATTTATTTCTCAAAGAAAAAAGATGCGCATTTTTATTCTCTACAAACTTCAGTAATTCAAATTGCAATTTGTAATAGTTTCAAAAATTGACCTAATTGACAAAACTTAAACGCGTGAATCCACGCGTATCCCCTTTTAGAATCCGTCCCCTCAATTTTAGTGCTACAACCATACAATTTATAGGGACTTAATCCAATTTTTTGGTGTCACAACAAAATTTTAGTGCTGAGACTCCAATTTTTGAATGCTACAAATAAAATTTTTAGAGGAATCAACTAATTTTTAATGTATAGGATCTTCATCACTTATAGTATATTCTCTATTTTCAATTTTCTGAGAAAGAATTTCAAATTCTTGTTCTGTAAAATTATATTATAAGCACATGATCTAAAAATCTACGAACGAAAACGTGCAACATTTAAGACATTCTTTTCTATTTCTACTTCAAATGATAATTTTTTTAATATTTAAAAAAAATACGTTACATCTGTATCGGGCAACAATTTTGATGCAGTATTCAGTTACAAATTTTCAAAAATGAAAAACTTTTAATAAAGTTTTAATAATACAGCTGCAAAATTTTGGTAAATTCGGTTTTTAATTTTTGAAATTTTTCAAACTGAGCACAAAAATTTAAAATCACATTCGCTGATGCAATTTTTATCTTTCAAAATAGGGGAAACAAAAATTTTGCAAAATGCAAATAAATAAAGAGGCAAAATTTTTTTTAGGCAAATTTAAGAAAATGAAGAAAAAAATTAAAAACAAACATGCAGGTGAATGTTTCAATTTTTTTTTTCTATAATTTTCGTACCGAGAGCGTCAATGGCGCAGAGGTCATGAAGTGAAGAGACAGAAGTTGAGGCACTGAGTTCGCACGCTGTAACAATAAGAGAAAAAGATATCTACTTGTCGAATTTTTCATTGTTTCGTATCGCGCAATATATACAGAGAAATGTTGACGAAACAAGTTTCCGGCAATTCAGGCTTATTTCACATAATAACCATCCCTTTTTTTTCGTTGGTCTCTCTTTACATTGTACCTGCGACTCTTCCGCAAATATATATATATATATATATATATATATATATTGTATATACACACGCATACACAAAATGGGCATTTAAATTCTCTTCAAAAAAAAAAAATTCTCTTATTTACAAAAATACGTAAAGGTCAAAGGAAATATTTTCAAATTTTCTCACATTTCAGGAAAATTTTTTTCTACTTTTTTCCTATTATTATTATTACTATTATTATTATTATTATTATTATTATTATTATTTTAAATATATAAAAAAATTTAATAACATAAAATAAATAATAAATAAAATAAAAAATATTGTTATTATTAATCATGTTATTGTTAATATGATTATCATTATATTGTTATTACTATTATTGTTATTATGTTATTATTGTTATTATTGTTAATATTATTACTATTATTTTTTTCTTATTTTTCAATTATTTTTTTCTATGTTTGTCAAATTAAAGAAAATAGAAAAAAATATTGTTTGGGCTTTAAAATTTTCGAAATTATAAGGCAAATATTTTTTTGTGTAAAAAACAATTTTTTTTGTATGAAAAAAGAGGGGGGGGGGGAGGAGAAAAAAATCGAGGTTACGGTGACCGCGCGCTTCTTCGTGATTATCTTACAAATATTTGAGTGTAATTAGATGTTTGTTCGTCTGTTACTTTGTTTACATTTTGTGTGCCATATCTGGACCGTTAAGACGCGTTTATTACATATCGCGATATGAAACGTTATAGTCTGTTCCTTCTCTTCTTTTTTTTTTGTTACTAGTGTCTTTAACCTGTTTCAAATACATTTTATGGAAAATTATAATTTTGATAAGAATTTTCTTTATGACTGACTTATTGTTTTTTAAATTAATTTTTTCTATTTATTTTCAAGATTTTTGGCGAAAATACTTGTTTCTGGGGGTTTAAAATCAAAATTTCTTTCTCTAATTTAAAAATTTTTTTGAATTTGAAAATTATTAACATATAAATTTTTTTCGGTTGTTTAAACATTTTTTTAAGTGATCCAATTTGAATTTTTAGAGGTAAAGGATTCAAAATTTTAGAGGTAGAAACAAAAATTTTGGTGCTGCTGTCAACATTTTTATGCAACAACTGAAATTTTTAAAAAAGTTGATCTAATTTCTGTATTATACTGGAACTTTAATTTTAAGTTGTATACATCTGAAATTTTTAGAGCATACAACTCAAAATTTTAATACTACAACTTGAATTTTTAAAGGCATAACCCAAATTTTTGATGCGTCAACTCATATTTTTAAAGATATAATTAACAAATTAAGAAGTTCAACCCAAATTTTTAGCACTAGAACCGAAATTTGTTATTTAAAAATTAAAGTTTTTAGAGATATGATAAAAAATTTAAGAAGTTCAACCCAAATTTTTAGCAGTGGAACACAAATTTTTGATGCTATATAATTCAAATTTTTAAAGATTAACATTTTTGAGGTACAACCCAAATTTTCGGTGCTAAAAATAATAATGAAAAAGAATTTTTAATGTAAAAATTTTGAAAATAGAGAAAAAGAATTTTTACTAAAAATTTTAAAAGATATATTTATAGCGAAGGAATATAAAAGAAATTGTGTGCCAAAAAAATTTTATATTGTGTGTATTATCAAAATTATATATACACATTATATCAATAAAACAAACAAAGCCACATTATCTCTAGGAGAACAAAATTCTTTTTTTCTTTTTTTTTTGGAAATTTGGTGTTTCTCAAGGAAATAATTGTCTTTTATGTATGTATGTTTACCACACGTCATATGCGCGCCACGAAACAAAAAGTGACGGAATCAGGCCACGGGGATTAATTTAAGATGCGAGAGATTAATGCAACATTTACCCATATCACATATTATTTTATGGACTAAAATCATTATATAAACTGTAATTATTTGAATGATTGCAATAGATATGAAATTTTTGGTAAACATTTCTAAAAATTAAAAAAAAAATATATCGAATTATTATAGTATAGTTTATTTAGTATAATGATATTTTTCGTTTGGACTTTAATTTTTGAATTTACTTGTTCGATGATAATTGAATCTGGAAAAATTATGATAAAAAAATTCTAGGAATCGGTTTTTTTGAAAATATTCTAATTTTCGAAAATAATTATATACAACAGATGCAGATAGTTTGAAATGTATTTCAGTACCCTAAAATTTCAGGTAGCATTGCGCACTATTGTGTAACTAATTGCGTAGAAAAGTGCGTAATAAGTTATTAAAAGCTCATTAACTAATTATAAAACTGACAGTTATGAAAAGTACCGTTACCCATTTTTCCAATAACCTGCTCATCTCTAAATCTTATTCACAAAGATGTCTTGATAATTTTAGTGAAATGAGTTTATGAAAATTAAATCCTATTTAATACTCTTCATAAAGGACTAAAGGACATCTGGCCTCGACTCGTTAGTTATGTAATGAAAAAAAAATGTTGCAAAAATTAAAAAAAGCCAAAAAAGAATCTAGTAAAAAGTAGCATAAAGGCTTAAAAAAGAAAGGTTCCGAATAAAAGATTATTTAAAACTTTTAAATTCTTTTTAAAAACAATTTTATAGATTTAGATTGAATTCTAGATTCTGACTGAACTTTAGCTTATTTAGATTGAGATTAAAATTTAAAAGAAAAGTCTTCAAAAAAAGCGATTCGATTTTTAATATTTTTAATAATATTTAAGAATATAAAAATTCAAATGAAGCGTAATATTTGTGAGTTTTGGCGCATTAGTGTAAATAACCTTATAGATACTATATATTTATTTATACATTGTAGTAAATGTTACGGTGCTTATTTTTGTTTCCTGCTGCTTCGTTCCATAGAATTAAGGATTTTTGATAATTTATTATATAGACACCTCAGGTTGTTTTTATCATTATTGTCCCATTGTCCGATTTAGATAAACAAAAGCGCATATACTTTAAAACAAATGGATTAAATCTTTTCTCTTTTAATTTGCAGATAAGAAAATTATGCTCAAGTGGAATGTACACCCATATACTTTGTTTCAAGTCGACTTTAGGATTAAGAGAGAGAGACCCTTTTACGGCCTGGGATTAAACAGGTAAATTCAGTAGTGGTTTGCACATCTGGACTACGATGCTAGACGCACACCTATATAGATGTATATGGACAAAATAGAAGTCGAGGGTGAGTTTAAACCTTTTGAAAAATGGTCCTTTAAGATATGCTTTATTATTTAATACTTATTTATGTTTCATTTGTATTTGTTTAAAATTCGGTTAAGATAGGTTGAATTATGTTAAATTTAGGTTGTATTAGGTAGAATTGTGATAAATAAAGGTTGAATGAGATAGAATTGTGTTGAAGTAGGTTAAATTAGGTAGAATTGTATCGAACTAGGTTAAAGTAGGTACAATTGGGTTGAATTCGGTTCAGTTTGGTTGAGTCATTGTTTGGTTGAAACATCTGATGAACATCTGATGGTTTTTACAATTTTCTGTAAGTTGGCATATAATAACTAATAACCATAATTATTAAAATTGGTTTTGGAAACATTATTATATATGCTTTAGTACTGTTTAGGGACACTATTGTGTACAGATTATGGTAGTATGAAAACTATTATATGGACAAAAAATCATAAAACTTGTATGCAAATGGTACCATCCATTTGCAACTGTAAATTTTTAATGGTGGGAACTAAAAGTTTAAATGTTAGAGATTTTGAGAGCTATGAGCAATATAATCTGTAACAATCGGTATTATAAATGGTGCAATTTAGAATATAAATAGTACAACCAAGGTTATATACAAATAGTATACAATTCAGAATTCAAAGATAGATTTAAATTTTTAGTGCAACTCTAATTTTTAGTGGTGCAACTCGAATTTTTAGTGCTGAAACTCTAATGTTTAGTGGTGCAGCTCGAATTTTTGATGCCATAATTCAAATTTTTAAAGATGTAATCTAAAATTTTAGAGGTAACCCAAATTTTTGGTGTTACAACCGGAATGTTTGATGCAACATAACTCAGGTTTTTAAAGGAACAACCCAATCTTTTAGTTCTGCAACTTGAATTTTTGTGATAGAACCCACGTTTTTTAATGCTGCAAATAAAATTTTTAGCTGTACAACTGAAAGATTTAGAGATATGACCCAAATTTTTGATGCTACAATTTAAAATTTTAAAGATACAATCTGAAATTTTAGAGGTACAACCCAAATTATAAGCTACAACCAAAATTTTTAGTGGTGTGACCCAAATTTTTTTTTTTTTTTTTCAAGTTTTTAAAGGAACAAATCAATTTTTTGTAATACATCCATTTTTTGATGATGCAACTCAAATTTTTAGTTACATATCTTTAGTTTTTTAAAGGTGTAATTCCAATTTTTGATGCTATAAATTAAAATTTTTAAACATGCAACGAAACTGTTGGTGCTGCAATTACAATTTTTGGCAATACAACCCGAAGTTCTTTGTGATACATCCCAAAAGTTTTAGTAGTAATACATCAAATTTTTAATTGCACAACCGAAATTTTTTGTCCTACATCTTAATTTTTTTATTGTACAATTAAAACTTTTAATGCTGCAACTTAAATTTTTCGTTTTACAATAGAATTTTTTTTAGCATTACAACTATTTTTAGAAGCTTAATCGAAGTTTTTAATGATTTAACTTAAACTTTCATTTGTATAATCCAAATTTTTAGTTCTGCATTTTAAATTTTTTATTGTATAACCGAAATTTTTTAACCGAATTTTTTAGTGGTTCAACAAAAATTTTAAGTTACATAACTGAAATTTTTAGAGGTGCAATTCAAATTTCTGATGCTGTAACACAAAATTTTAATGAAAGACAAACTTTTTAATAAAACTGACCCAAATTTTTTTAATGCTATAATCGAAACTTTTTGTGTTGTACATTCTAAAAATTTTAGTATACTACATGATGATCTTAAATTTCTTATTGTTTGATTGGAATTTTTAATGCTGCAACTTAAATTTCTAATAATTTAAAAGAAATTTTTAGTACTGTAACTCAAGTTTTTAACGGTACAATCCAAATTTTGAATGACGCAACAAAGATTTTATACTGCAACCCACCTTACAGATGGTACAATTCAAATTTTAATTTGTGGTATAACAAATTTTTTACATAAACTTTATGACAACTTTTAAATTGAATAGAAAGTGCACGCTCTCTTAATTTTGATTATGGGAAAAATTCAGCATTGTTGACTATTTTTCATATTCCTAAATATTGTTAATAATTGGAAAATTTCAATTTGCAACAAATTGGTAATAAAAATGTGAATCAAATCCTAGATGCAAATTTTGATCTAATTTGGTAGCAATTTGATCTAATTTGGTATCTATTTGATTCAATTTGGTATTAATATGATTCAATTTGGTATCAATTTAATACAGTTTGGTACCGATTCGATACTTTCAAGAAAAATGAAGACAAGTTCAGATCATTAAAATTAGCAACTACAGAATAAAAAATATATGAAAAAAATAACATACCAGGATTGGGTTGCGTCTGATAGGAAGGCTTCTTCATCCATTCATAAGGGCTGCGTATTTGTCCCGGTCGAATTGGCGTTGTCGAACCATTATTGTTAATAGCCGTAACACTATTATTATTAGCGGGTGGTGTTGCTGGCGTTCCAGGACTGCTAATTTCACTTCCGCTTATTGTTATCGGCGGACTTGGTTCATTGGGAACACCGACGGCTGACGATCCATTGCCCTCATCGCCGCTCCAATCATTAACACCACCGCTCAATTGTTGTTGCTGCTGCTGATAACTCTGATGATGTTGATATTGTAAATGTGAATAATGATGTGCATGCGGCCATGTTAATACATCAGTTGGATTTAAATACTGCTGTGGACCCGGTGCACTTTGATGATGTGCCGGATGTGCATGTCCATGTGGATAGCCGTACCAATATTGTTGAACAGCATCATCTGGACCATGATGCTGTTGTCCATGCTGTGACGAATGTTGCACTTGCTGCGACAACGATTGTTGTTGCTGCTGCCGATACATTGCCAAAGAATTGTACGTGAGCATTTTTGAAAATTAGAAAAATACCCAAAAATAAAAGAAAAAATTTGGAACGTCCCGTAATGGACGTTCCAGAATAAAACGGAAAAAAAAATTAATCACAAAACACCGATTTTTCTCTAATGTATAATTAATGTAAATGACGCACAACACACACTTTTTTTAAAAACACATCACACGCACTATTATTTTTTATTTCGAAGCAACAAAAAAAAAAATATTTCGAGAAGTGATCTCTAATAGAAGTTGTTACAACAAGCACTGTTGGTGAACTTGTGAGAGACTTGAGGAATGACGGAGTTTAGAGGGATTCTTGACAAGGGAGCCATGGCCACGCCTTCTAACGCCTACGTTTACCCCCGCAACGCTTGCAGTGTTAGCACACCGACCAATGGGAGTAATGCGCGAAGCAATGGCGTCACGACGACGATAAATACACTTTTTCCTTCTTTGCCTACACTTCTCTAATGGGCTGGCATTGCTTTTCAAACCGCACTAATACTTTTGTTGTTGTACCACCAACTTTTCTTGTGTGTTATAACATAAAAGAGGAAGTGAAAAGAAAAGAAGAACTAGAGAGAGAGAGAGAGAGAAGAAACGTTCTTTGCAAAATTTAACTCTATATAGCTATATATATGTGAAGATTTCCGGGAAATGCCGCGCGCGCAAAGGGAAGAGAAGAGAGAATTGATGAGATTTTTATTGACGATGATGGAGGGATTGGATCATTCAACAATTTATCACTCGCTGAGATTTTTAGATCAAGGAGAAGATATAATGTTATTATCCTATACATATGTGATATTAACATATAATTATACGTGAGAATTTTTATATTTCTAAGTCTTTATTATAATTAGCGTATTAGTAAAAGAATAATGACTAATAACCGATGATAATTGTCAACTAATAATAATTAAGTAATTATAAATTTAAACTAACAATAGATAATTAAAAGATTATAATAATTACTGGTAGCAATTGTTGGCTTATAATAATAATTAAATAAGAATACTTATTAACATACTTGCTTGTTAACAATTATTAGATAGTAAAAATAATTAGCTAACAATAATTATTAACAAGCAATTATATTAGATATGAATAATAATTTATCAATAATTATTAGCTAGCAATTCTTAGCTAAGAATAATTTAATATCAATAATTATTAGCATACTTATTTGCTAACAATTATTAGTTATCAAGAATAAGTAGCGAACAATAATTATTAGCTATAACAATAATTGCTATAGCTAAAAATTAGCTGGTAACATTTATTAGCAAACAATAATTAATAGCTAGTAATTATTAGATAACAATGATAATTAGCTAATAATATTATAAGTGGTATGCAATTTGTCGTATAAATAAAACAAACAAGTTTATACAAACAGTAATATGTATACAATTCAGAATTCAAAGATATAAATTTTTAGTGCATCTCGAATGTTTAGTATGGTACAACACGAATTTTTATTGTTGAAACTCTAATTTTTAATAGTGCAACTTAAATTTTTAACCCTGCAACTTAAATTTTTAGAGGTTTCACCCAAATTTTTTATGCTGTTATATTCGAAATTTTAAAGACAATTCAAAATTTTAGAGATACCTTAAAAATTTTTAATAAAATCGAAATGTTTGATACAACAATACTCGCAAGTTTTTTAAAGGAATGACCCAATTTTTTTTAGTTCTGCAACTTGAATTTTTGTGATACAAACCTACGTTTTTCAATGCTGCAAATCAAATTTTTAATTGTGCAACTGAAATATTTAGAAGTATAACCCAAATTTTTAATGCAATTCAAATTTTTAAAGATATACAATCTAAAATTTTAAGTTATAAATTATAATAGAAATTTTTAGTGATAATACGACCCAAATTACAGGTTATTGGGTCAAAACATCTTAAATTTTTACTATAACTAATTCAATTAGTGAATTTTGACTATATTTTTGACAAAAGTCAGCGATGATTCTATACTAATAATTAGTTATTTTTAACTAATTCAGATTTAGAAAGATTAGTAGCTATAATAATTGTTAGTTAACATTAGGTACAAATAATAATTAGTTAATTAACATTAGTTATAACAATTATTATCAATTATAATTGTTGGCTAACAGGAATTATTGACTAAAAAGTATTAGCAAGGAGAAATTATTTACTAACAAATATTAATTAACATGAATTATTAGCAATTATTAGCTTATGCAAGAATCACTACTTAACAATTAGCTAGCAATAATTATTAACTAACAATTGTTACAGTAAATTAGTAAATTATCATTATAGTAAAAATTAGTAATTTTTACTAAATTTAATAATTTTTGGTAAAATTATTATTTTAGTAAACTAGTAAAAATTAGAGAGAAAACATAATTTTAGATAATAATAGTTGTTAGCCGCAACGATAATTATATTAATCATTGTATATATAATTACTAAAAACAATAAAATTATTGTCTGTGCAATATAATAATTATAAAGGAAATGATTGTCCTTATAATCGAAGATTGTAAAATATAATAACACTATAATGGTTAATTCTGATGGTACTTCATATAATAATAAAAGGAAAGCAAATTTATATTATTATATACGGATGTGAGAGAGAGAGAGAGAGATAATGCTGCGGGAGAAAATTTACGAGGTTAATGATTATATTGTGATTAGAGTCCTTGTTGCCCCCAAGAGAATATATATATAACTATATATATGTAGTAATCTATAATGTCAATATTTATGGAAATTTCTTGATCCCTACAGGTATATGTATATTATCGCACTTATTATCTATATTGTATATATCTGTGTTTATTTTTCTTAGTGCAAATCATATTAAATCGATTCTTTCAAAATTGAAGCATATCTGCGTTATTTATGTTTGGTAAAAGATTTCGTTTTAGAGAAATTTATATGTGACGCTCCACGAGAAAAGGGACCTTATGACAAGAGTAAATAAGGTCCCTTTTCTCGTGGAGCGTCACATATACATAATCTATATTTTTTTAAATGTTTGTTGTACAGCACTACAAAATTCGGATTGCACCTCTTAAATTTTAAATTGCATTTCTAAAAATATAAATCGTATAGTTATAAATATAATTTGGGTATTACATATATCCAAAATTTTAGAGATATATCTATAAAATTTTGGGTTATACCTCCAAAAATTCGGGTTGTAGATATTAAAAATTAAAGTTGCACCACTAAAAATTAGAGTCACATCATTAAAAATTGCTGTATTGCACCACTAAAATTTAAAGTTACAGCATCAAAAATTTAGATTTCACCACTAAAAATTTCAGTTGTGCATAACTTAAAATTTTAGTTGTAGCACTAAAAATCTATTAGGCTGTATTACAAAAATTTGGGTTAAAGTTTAATTAAAAAGTTTGTCTTACATTAAAAATTTATGTTGTGGCATAATAAATAATTACTTCGATTGCATCACAAAAAAGTTAAAATTGCAGCATGAAAAAAATTAGATCAAATTGCTACAAGATTAGTAATTATGTAAAAAAATGTGTTATAAAACAGATTAAAATTTGCATTGTACCATCTGCAACATATGGGTTGTAGTTTAAAATCTTTGTTGCATCATTCAAAATTTGGATTGTATATACCATTAAAAACTTGAGTTATAGCTCTAAAATTTTCGATTAAACTCTTAGAAATTTAAGTTACAGGATTAAAAATTACGATGAAACAATTAGAAATTTAACATGCATTTAGTATACTTCAACTTTTGGCATATATCACAAAAAATTGGGTCAGTTTTATTAAAAAGTTTGTCTTTTGTTAAAAATTTGTGTTGCAGCGTCAAAAATTTGAATTGCACCCCTAAAAATTTCAGTTGTGCAACTTAAAATTTGGATTGTACCACTAAAATGTTCTATTAAATAATTAGAAATTTAAGATGCAGAATTAAAAATTTCGGTTAATAGGGTATATAATAAAAAATTTAAGATGCAGCACTAAATGTTTCGGTTATATAAAAATTAAAATTTAAATTAAATCATTAAAATTTTCGATTAGGCTTCTAAAAATAGTTGTAATACTAAAAAAATCTATTGTAAAACGAAAAATTTAAATTGCAACATTAAAATGTTCGGTTCTGCAATAAATATTCCTATTTGTTAAATATATTTTTCAATAAACAATCTAAAAACTATTGCGTTCATCGTTAATCTTAAAAGATGTAATGTACATTAACATCTTCAAAAATGCATAAATATTTCAAGAAAACGAATATATAACCGACAAAAGCTTAATAATAATGGTATTAAGGAGATTTCAATCTTCCTGGCATTGTATATTCATTTTCGTATATAATAGCAGCAAACACAATAAATGTATAATTTAAAAGTGTCATTTTGCAAATAATTGTCATACTGTGAAACATTTATTGTCCCAAAACTTGACGGGTGTTCAAAACTCTGAACATTAAAATAATAAACAAAAATAACTATAAGAATTGACCTGCAGTATTTATAACCGGATATAATAACCAAAAACTGATAGGATAGGTGGTGTGTACCGCCCCTATATAGATATACGCATATATACACAACGAAAGGATCCTTATCTTAATATTTTGAAGGAGTTTTATGGGATCTCAAAATCTCCTAGCATGAGAGCATCTCAACATAAGCAAATTTTTGTTATTAGTTACCTAGATTTAGATATAGTCAAACCTATACTTATATATGTATATACACATCAAACAAATATTTTCCTCTACTATGGTAGTTTCTGTTAATATAGATTTTTCAATGATATACCTGAAAAATCTGTTTGCCAAAAAGTATAGTCAAAATGTTATGTGTTTGTGGATACGGATTGTATGTGTATATATGTATATACAGTGTATCTGTATATATAGTGTATGTATACTCAGTGTATATGTACACACAGTGTATCGGTACACACTTAAAGGCATACAAATACTTAAAAATATGCATGTATACGTAAACGTTATATAAAGAATTTTATGGCTCTTGCGGAAAATGTACAAGTGGAGCGAGGTTAGGTATAAACTTAAATATTGTCCTGGTAATTATAGTTTTTGTATTGATGGCACTGTGTTAGTTATATACCTGTATTTGTGGGCGGAGAAGAGGACAAAATTTTAAGCCTCTGACTAAATTTTTCCAATAGGGGGTAGATATATATACAGTACAGTAAGTAGATATAGAGAAAATATGTATATAAAAGTTATTTTTGCAGAAAGAAATATTTTTGTCAGATTTATAGTATGCC